AAACTCTATCAAATTATTGCGTTTTCCCTCCTGAAACTTACTATAGGACGAACAGGAAGCACAGTAGATGCGTTATCTCATGAAATGCTGCCGAAATTCCGAAATATGCTTTTGATTCGAAAAGGTTATTTGAGTAGCATTGTAATATTGACTATCGTGCTGCATAATCCTAATCATGTCAAGATGCCAGATTTTAAATGAGCTTTTTTACGGCCAAATGCAAAACTACACTCTAAAAAGGTCTATTTGTGTAGTATGGTTTTTCCTCATTAATCTTCGATGTCATTAAAAGTTCAATTACATTTTAAAGAAAGCGTGCACAAAAACACTCCCTTGTAATGATTTGATAGCAAATTACGTTTTCTTTGCGTCTTATACTTAAAAAGAGAGTATCTTTCTGTTTTTAAAAACCTTCTTTTTCTATATCAGGGTACCTTTTTGTCCTTCGTGCTGCATCACTTGCTTTTGGGGTTTTAAAACTATATGCCGTACACGCTCCGTCAAAAAAGCACCACATATTTCTCTAGACTGTCAGGAACAGGTCATATATTGGCTTATAAGCCTCTGCAGTGTATGTGGACCAGGTTGCATGCTTTATAAGTAGCACTCATAAACGTGCCGATACCACGCTGTATGGAAATTTCGCGGTCTTGAAAATTTCATGACTAAAAAATTTTAATCCGAAATATACTATCCCTTCAAGTAGAAAATTTGGAGAAGACGCAATTTGCTACCACATGAGCATAAGAAGAAATAATTTTGCATGTTTTTTACATAATGTATTTGAATTTACAAGGGCATCGAAATTGAATGATAAAAAAATTTATGCTACATAAGTAGTTATTTCCCACAGATTGTAGTTTTTGCAGACGACTGAAAAGAAACTCATTCAAAAGCCGACATCCTGGTGTAACTGAAATATCTTAGGATTATGCTCCACGATGATAAACATTACTACCCCACTTAAGTAATAGTTTCGAATCGAGAGTACACTTCAGTACTTCGGTTAACACTTCATGCAATGGCACATTTACTGTAGGAGGAGCCGGTCACCTCGGGTGTAAAGAGCAGTACTGCGCGAAATATCTTCGAGAGGCGGAGCCCACGCCCTGCCAATCGAGATTAGGCGCTGGATTTTAGCGACCACAATTCACAGGATCATTAAGCATTCGCCTGTATATGTTTACAGGGGCATTAACGAATATTACCGTTGGCCAAGAACCACTAGAAGCAAGGATATTTTTAGGCTGAGGATCACATCACCTGGGCAAATCAGTGGCACAATGAAGTGTTTTCTGCTGAGAAGAACTTGAGTCAGGATAGCCCAGATGATTCCAACTATTACTGACATCAGTGTAAGGAACCCCGTACCTGCATCAGGCGATCTTTCGGGCGGACAGGGTGATAACCTAGAGAGTTATTTCGCGCAAGCATTTATAAGTGGTGTTCTCATAATAAAAGTAAATTTCGCATTGTCACCGCCAGGCGTTTCCTGCTCGAAAGCTGTCCTTTGTAAGTTAATAAAGTGGTGTATATTTGGGTGTTTCAACAAGAAAACTGTTATATACATACTGTCCAAAGGATGGAACTGTGGCTAGGAAGTAACGAGACTGAGCCGATAACCTGACCATAACTGAGCCTGATCTTAAAACGCATGTGACTCAGTAGGAACTGTTGTCGAGGTGAAGGTGAAACTTCTAGTTCCAGGTGTATAAATAAGTGAAAAAATAGAGGCCTCTGACGATGGACTTCTGCACGAGTTCGAAAGCTCAGGAAAAGAAACAAAATGTTCCGGTGCTCGACCACTCTTCCTCGTCACTCATGTTACTGAGGTGTATATATTGCAACAGTCGAGAAACCTAGTCGTGGCATTTACTGAAGGAGACTATTCAGCAAGCACAGAATGTCCTAAGTGGATCAAAAGTTCAAATCCTGATTAGTTGCGAACGAAAACGTTGCGCTGAAATTCGGAAGCGAAATATATGTCATATATCCCTGTAAATTCAAACAGCCACACGAAAATATAGAAGGCGTAAAAACTGCGGGAAAACCACCTGACGACCATTCCTATTACCTTTTTAAAACATGTATTATTAAAACTTTCTTTGCGCTTAACGTTGTCACTTTTTACTCTCCGTTGCGAAACTGTTTTATTTTAGAACCGGTGGCCGCATAATTGCGGATTCACTCCATGTGCGATCTAATTCCCGCTCCTGTTAGGACAAAAGTTCAACTGCCGGCGCGTCCGAGAACTTGCGTTGCAGCCTAACTGTGCAGCTACAAAGCAACACGCGTTAAGGAATGTAGAGAACGCCGATTCTCCTTTTTCAAAATAGGACGGATGTATTTGGACAAAGCCCAAACTTTTCCAAAATTAAACGCGGGCGTGTCGAAGAATTTTACGCGAGAATATTGCAGCCGAACCGACGCGCGCAACTTCCTGAAAATCTAGCACTAGCAAACAGTAATCACGAAGGGTGACGTAGACTAATTGCCAGGCACACAGTTGGTTCTGTTCCAACGATTTATTTGCAGCACTTAAAGGGAAGAGCTGACTAAATATCATGCGGACACACATTAAGGAGCATTTTATATTCGAAAGTATTGGTGCCCGCTTTCCGATTTGCATGTTAAAGATAGAGCATTAAGCCTCAACCGTGCCTATTGCCGGAGTGGGTGTCCATAACATTATTCCATTCGAGGTGTCCAGTTGGGACAATTTGTTTACTGTTGACATCCAGACAAAGGCAATTCTGTCGCGGCTCCCATCCCCCACAATCATTAAACTAGGCAAAGCTGCTTTTCGCAATTCGAATGTCTTTCCAGTGGAAAAACTGACAGCAAACTACGAGCTTTAGCAAAGTTCAGAAGGGAAAGTTTTCGAATTGAATGTAATTGAGATAACTGCTTTAAAGCTGGGGTGGAAATGACTGAAGTCATCTAATCAACGCGTTTTCTGCTCGGCCACCTGGATTCTGTCAACTCAAAAGATAACTGAATGTACGTAAGAAGTTAAGGATTTTTATTTTAAATTTCGACTTAAACAGCAGAGTAATATGAACGAAAATGGCTCGGCTTGTCGGAGGGTCGTAAAAATGGTTAGAGGGTGTCTCTCTTGTTTCCGAGTGTGCTGCACTACTTCTAGGACAGTATTTTTCGCGAATATAAAAGTTATCTGAATTATCATGTTTGATTCAGCAGTCTACGCCATGAAATGAAATATAAGAATTACCCTTTATGATTTGTCTCATGAGTGTTTTCAGGTGGAAAATATGCACATCTCCTTTTACTTGTTATTTCAGTCATTCGCAGGTAAGCAAATGATCTCGAAAATTTCACTAACAGGGTTAAGAGAGTCTTCACTGGTAATTTTTGAATTATTTGCCACCGACAACCATCCATATTCTGGCCCTACAGAATTAAAGCTTAGTGTGAATCCTAGTAAATTTGGCCCTTGTGCGGGACAACGTCATTTAGGACTGTCGAATACTTTCAGGCGTAATCGGCAAGACAGTGAGCACAGCCCTAACTATGCCTCTTAAAGTTGCCTATTCGAACACTTTATGGCCGCTTGTGAAGACCGACTTATCTAGCCTAACTGTCTCTTCCAATTCATAAGCTTTGACGTTTCCCGGATCACATGAATTAAGCGGTGTTTCGCACTTGCAGGACATCCTTTAAAATTAGGTTTAAAGTTTCCGAAAAGTATCCATCAACAAACAGTCGTCAGTTAGTTAGTTTTAAAAAGAATGGCAAGGGGATTGCTTCGTCAACATAAAGCACACGTATAGACTGCGTTTCGCTCAAATGTTTATTGCTTCCGTTTAAACTTTTCGAAACTGCCTGCTAATATCGTGGGAGAGTACTATGCAAAAGACCAGCGAGTCATCCAGCCATTCAAGGGGTAAGATTTTAATCTAAAAAATCTGTTCTAACAACCACAACGGACATTAGCGCAACTTCCTATCATCTGGTAGATTTCACAATAAATCAACTCACACACACGAAAGCCTAATGCCATATTATAAAGAACGCTAGGCAAGCGCGTGCGAGTGAATTATTTTAGGACGACAGGAAACTTGCCACAATTTTTTCAAATCTTTATTTACCTACAAAATTCATTCTAAGGTGTGACGGCCTTTAAGTTACAGCCCAGATAAGCGTTCCGCAGACAGACAGGGGGTGCGTAGACACAAGTGGTTTTTAAAGTAAATAATGAACGGCATGACTTCGTGTTGACCCCAATGAGCCTTAAAAATCACGACAGATCTCAGTGCCAAATGTATCATCAGCCAGGATATGACTACCAAAAGGTGGCATTTAGTGTCTGTGCCAAAATATCTGGACTGGAACGCGTGCAGTCTTCCAGTCTCCAGCAGATATCCTTTTAACAGTCAACGCAAAATGAGCACTTTCGACTGATGTGGTCTTAGCCTGAGGTTTGTTCTGACCGTTTCGGTTTATCTTTAAATCATCAATGTCATTGGATACTACTTGGGAAATTTGACAGTGTTATTAGGCTACACTGAAAAGAGCAGGTTGTTAAATTAAAAGTAAGGCATTTTTGGGCAAAGCCACAATGGCATATGCAATAATTTCTCAGTCAATACAAAGTAAGATTCAGATTTTTGTCTTCTGAGCGCATGGAAAACACGTTAACGACAGTCTATTTAGTTGAAAAGTAATTACGTTTCCTGCAAGGACTGGCATGAATAAAAATTATGTATGCCGTCAAAGTTACACTGAAGTTTTACAAAAGGGAAACATGCACGGTGTGCGACTGGGTAGGACTTTTCAATCTAGATTTTGCTTATAAAATCCTTTCTAGTGTTTCCCCTGCCTCAGAAGTAACAAAGTCCAAGAATTATGGGCGCGCGAACTCAGTTAGGTTAAAGATACAAAATTTTCGATCGAAAAGCCTCGTGTCTTATCCCATAGTTATAAGTTGCCCTTCAGCAACCGCGTTTTAGTAAACAAGCAGAATAGGAGCAGAGGACCGGTTAAGCGCTACGTTTGTTCTGATGTCGAAGTGAGCGACCGAGTTTCTTCGTCTCCTCAACGACGACAAACAAGGTTGCCGTTGCTGGTATTGTCCTAAAGAGTGTGGGCAGGAGTCCATTGTACAGGGAGCCAACACCTTCAAAAAATCAAAAAGCGTTTTAGCGCCTCAGTAAAAAGCATTTGAACATCTAGCTATAACTTTGAAGAATATTACAGAAGCAATCGTAACGTACTTTAAAAAGAATACTGTTTACCATCGACAGCCGGCCTGCTCAAATTTCCAAGCCGCCTTTCCGATACCCTAAAGTACTGGTGCTTCTGGCAGAGCTGAGTCATAATATCTATCGTTGGTTTACTTTCTTACATTCTTCTTATGCATTTGCGTATTTATGCATATGCATTGTGCTACAAAAGTATTTTGAAGTGCATATAGATTAACGCTAATGAGTTTGGTGTGGTTTATTACCCGGGAACTTTATTATCCACTCTGTTATATCATCTCAGGCAGAACGTCTAATGTTTTACTAAACGTGATTATTGCCACAATCATGAAAATTACCATGCCTCATTCTATATATTATCCAAGAGCTCCTTTATTTTCGATCTTATTCGAATATCGTTCATTGCAATGTATGTTCTGCTGATGTTGCATATCTTAGATAATGTAAATTGAACACAACCTGGGAACAGGAGTGTGAGGGACTTGATAATTCGAAATCTTACCGTTCTACTGATGAGGTATACTAGTAGCCCAGTGACACATGGGAATAGATATGCATTTGTAATGTAAATTTTCCCAGGAAAATGTCTCAGAAAGCCAGAATTTGAAGGATAAAAGTAATGGAAGACATTTGTTTGCCATTTTATAGGAACACTTGAATCCTTCATGGCGCGCTGTCCTCAAAATTTTTAAAAAGTACTGGCAGACTGGCATAACATTGTCAAATTTTCAACTGAGTATCTTCTAAGAAAACCCTAAGAATTTGTCGCCAAATTAATGCATCTACTTTCCCCGTTCAAGGGATGAATTTTCTCGGTTTATTAGCGATTCAAATTTACCAGAACACACTTCATGAATTAACAAGATGTTTTATATATATGAGAGTTGCTGTAACGCATACTTATTGTGCTATATTTGAATTCAAATGAAGCTGAATTTTGGCTCAGGTTCGCAAATATAAGAATCCTGGGCCGGTAATCTGAGAAAAAGAAGGGACGCATCGAAACAGAGTTATGGTGTTGCTGACGCTTTGGAGAACTTAGTCGGCTTCCCAGTGTCAAAGCGTCTAACGCAGAAACTCGATCAGAACTTTAAATGCCTGGTCGAGATCGTGGATCTTGAAATAGTCGATGTCTCTACTTCTTTTGCTGCACCGGTCTTTTGGCAGCTGTTTGGAGGCTTGACGGTCTCTTGCGTTGCGTGTCGTCAGCTCGGTGGAGGGCGGTTGAACCCCCACACCCCCCCCCCTTCGGCTGGGTTTGTCAGCGGGCAGTTCCTGGGCAAATGCAAAACCACGATATTCAGAAAAGACACCAGCAAAAGGCAAATATCACACTTCAACAGCGTAATTTTGTCCGTATTCTAGTTTAAAGAGTTGAAACACATTACAGCACGCCAGCCAACAAGAGCTGAACGACTATGCCCTTATGACCTCTTCCGGACCAAAGTTTGTCAAAGATATTTTATCAAGCAAGGCGGGTATGGGGTGAATGGACACCGGCGAAAAAGCAGAAATCGAGGTCTAAAGGACGATTCCTACACTCCCCCATAAAAAGAGTCTCCGAGGCGGTCTCTCGACTGTCACAACCCGCCAGAGTGGGCGTAGCTCGTCGATCCCCTTCAAAAGTACGTCGCCGTTTGATGCAATCAAAGGACGTACTGTCATCAACCGAAATCTCAGCCGTTGTCTACCAAGCACGTTGAGATGGTGGAAACTGCAATTAAATTGAGGAAACCCGACCAAAATCGCAGACTCGTCTACATCAGCCCAAACCGCCAAATCGGAGGCCAAAACCCAAACTGTCAGGCTGAAATTCACATTGGAAAAACTGACCATAATTTTGGCATTCAAGAAGCGGCTATTTTAGGCCGGAGCATCTCAAGGACGGAATGACCCACACTAGAGGCGTGCTATTCAGGTGCCAACTCCACTCAAAGTGCATCTAGACCTTCCTGTGACTTATAAAGTCCTGTGTCATTACATACACAAATACCAGGCTAAGACGGTTACACCAAACTTCAGAAAAAAGAGATGGACCGGCGACGAGCCCATCCAAAGGGCAGGCAGAGGTACAACCATCCGCCATCGAGATGAAGACAGACAACGCAGGAGGTCGTCAAGCCCTCCCCCCCACCAAGCCGCTGTCATAAGGCCGGGGCAACGAAAGGGAGAGAAAATTGATCAGTTCAGGTCGGACAAGCTCGACGGGACATTCAAAATTCTGATCGACTTTCTACAAACGACGCTTTGACAATAGGAATTCGACCAAGTTCTCTGAAGCGTTGGCAACACCATAACCCTATTCTGGTGAGCACCTTCACTTTCTGAGTGTAGTTCGGTCACTTTCTTCAGGCAAACGGAAGGTACACCAAGATTCTGGATGAACGTTTTTCAAGATCAGATACTAGCAGGACTTTCAAAACCGCATAATGCTGTCGTCTGGACACTAATCTCCTTCCAACAAAAGTGTCGTTTTTAGAAAATGTTACTGAATATCAGCGTAGGGGGCAGCTTTTAGACACGTTACAATGCATTCCGAATATGTTCCTCCTGTAGACCGCAAATGTCAAGTGTTTTGGAATGGGAATGTTATAATCTGCAACAAGGAAGAACTACAATCGCAGGACATGTGTGTTAGCTATGAAAATAAACGACAGTATGGAGGAACCGCTTAATATTAGTTTTATCACAGTAATATACAGAATCACTCAATAGGATATGTAAAGGTCTCTTTAAGTTAGCAACAGCGTGCTGAAGTCGCATATGGGGATGCTCTAATGTACATTTAAGAAGGGTAGTTTAGACACCCTTTAGGTTACACATTTGGTACCTGCACAATTAAGATACAACACTATTTCCGAAGCTCAGATACAATGGTCCTATCAATTGCTATTTAAAAGATGCCAGAGAAGGTTGGCTTACCTTCCGTTCTCAATATTTGGACCAATGTTGTCACAATCCGTGGTGGCGGTGTCGTAAATGACATGGAACTTGCCTCGGAGGCCATAACAGACGCTACTGCTGTTCGCCCAACTTGAATTCGGGACTTTATTACGTCCAACGGAAAAATTGCAGTCCAGAGGCAGACGCCTCCGAAACCGCCAGCAATAGCAGTGCACAGAGGACTTAGCTCATCGCTTGACTTATGGGGTGGTGTCATTAAGAAACGTGCTGTCTCGTTTCCGCCCATGTAGAAGAAAAGTCCCGGTAGCTCTCTGGCGAGTGTACACGTATATCCTCTATAGAAGCCTCTTGGTCCGTCCTGTGAAAGGATTCCTCGGATGACGCTCCAAAAAGAACTATAATAATCTTTTGTGTAGGAACAAGCGAAATATACTTGATAAACTTTCAAAGAACAAATTTCAAAGCTTAGACTTTACGAAGCGCCACACAATAGCATTATTTTCAATAACAATTTATCGTTTACTAAGTGAAGTTATTTCATACGAATTTAGTGAAACCGTATATTTTTGCAGTGACTTAATCCGATAATACACGTATGGATTCTGATTTTGTTTTATAATTTTACAGTCTGGGGCAATGGTTTATGTCGTCTATAGTGGACCGGTGAAAGCCCATATGTATAGGTCGAATGTTATTTTCCTGGTGACCCGCTGTTTGGATAACCAATCCGTCCCTCCTTGTTTGCGCCTGTGTCGTGTATTTACTCGACAGCCAGCGAATTCTCGGGGACACTCCTGAAGATGAAGATATCGTGACAAATCCATAGACATTTCCAAGGGCCTATTAAAACCCCTGCAAGCTGCATCGAACCCGAGGACAATGTCATCCTTACTCTACCTACCTGACAGCAATCTCGCCCCAGATATTTAATAATGACTACTTTGTTAGGTTAAAAGTAATTTCTCTCTGGAAATGCATCCTTCCGGCCAGAAGGTAGCTCAAAAAGTCGATTGATAAACCGGTCGAGTTAGCCACCATTCATTCGCGATACCACATTCCATAGGTCATCGAAACATGAAGCTAAAGTGGTAACATCATCGATGTAGTAGATCTCACTTAATCCGCGTCTGGGGCAACTTCAACACCGTTAAAAGCATGTACGACCCTTCCGAGAGTCAAGTCAATGAGATAGTTTAAGAGTGATAGTTGCCTCGGATCATCGTTAGATTTCTGTCGGTATTCCATCTAGTTTCATCATCCGCCACATGAACTCGTGATGAGCGAGTCGAAAGCTGAGAGGAAGTCCGTGAAACAAACGGCCATCTGTTTGAGGTAAATATGGCGGAATTCAAAAAGGTATTGATACGTAAGCATTTAACAGGTGCACACACATCCATTTGAAAACACGGTTTGTTTTTATCTCGACCTAGACTCACGTACATTCTGAAACTGTTTGATAATGGCAATGGCAAGTACCTTTGCAACGACGTCGATGAGATTTGTGCCGCAGTAATTTCTGCACTTCGCATTATCTCCCTTCTTCAAGACAGGCACGAGGATGATCAAGCCTCAATCATCAAAAACTGCACAACCACTTCATGGGCTCAGGGGACCAGCGTAAAAAAAAACATGGATTTCGATGGGAATGCTGTCCTCTCCGGTCGAGTTTCTCTTAGGTGCCCTAAGTATTGCTTTGGTTATTTCTTTTAGGGAAGCTGAGTCAGACAACACTGCATGTCACAATTCCAATTGCGCTGTAAACAGATGAAGAGCAATGGATTGATCATGGAAGTAGAGAAGGAGTTTAAGGTACTCGAGCCAAAGCTCGGCTTCGGCCGGCGAGTGAACCTAGTTTGCTACTACCTAGACAAATAAGCTGGTAGGGTTTTTGTGAATTGCTGACCTATGAGACCTACTCCATGATGTTGTTACTTCAATCAAACGGTTTTTGAGAACAATCACAGTCAATCATCTCGCCTTTTTCCCCAGATAGCAGGGGAAGTTCTTGTTGAAGGATCTAACTCGATCCGTCTCGATGAACGATTACAAAAGTTTTGCGTTAATACTCTGAGATGTCTCTTTAACTGAGGATTTTAATTACGACCATCTACTCTTGCCCTCTCCCCGACTCGAACAATAAAGTGAGACCATTTTTCTGTTCTCAGAGCCTGGTTGTCCTGAGTGGTCCTACTTTGGCGACCTCGAGGCGTCTTGCGCTGGACATGTTGGGTGCGGATGAGAGGCGTGTGCGAAGAAAACCCAGTCCGACCTATTAGCGCTATTATCTTCGAAATCACGCTTCGATATGCCACGAGACAGTAAACTGATCATAATACATTCAGTCGGGCTGGCTGTACAGCTGTCGTTTAAATATTAGGTTAACATTTGTTAACATAGATACTGGGAGTCCGTCTGATCACAACCGCTCGGTTCTACTCGGCGAAGCTCGACGTGCTTTCGTCATTGTCATATCGAAGGCCAAAGTACAAAGCTGTTGTGATTGTTTGATGAGTTTCCTGGCTCGGCCCAATTATTTAACCTCTGGAAAGAATCCATAGATTACCGCGATGGGGTCGTATAGCTGTGCTCATAAGGTTTATTTATCATCCAGATCGACAGTGGTTGTGTCGTCGCGTACACAGAGAAAAACTGGGATGTAAGCTAGGTGCCTCTTTCAGCATTAATTCGCTAGCTGATCTCTGACTAGGCCTCACGCAAGTAAGTCATGACTCAGCTGTTGCGGGATAGTGAACGCCACAGCAAGTAAACTTGGAGAGTCCTGTAGGCCGCTTTGGTAGGGGATAAAATGGATGTCAACCCCCTATTCCCAACTGTCTCAAAGTAAACCGTCGCCTACTCATGAGTCGCAGTTTCCAGTTGGGACCACGAAGACTTCAAGTCGTTCTCTGTCACCGTACAGCCTAACTACAGGTCCCAGCCTCCTATGTTGTCTTTTTAAAGTCCATGAAAGCTTGAACGCAATACTCGATTTCAATTCTCTCAGCGTCTATGAAATGCTGTTAAATCACAAAAGTGTAACGTGATTTTCCGGGGTTATCGTCTGCCAATCGCGCCGAGAGTCCAGGCCTACGCGGTAAAATCTTGCGAATCTTACTTTGCCGCATCTTCAAACGACGCCGCAGACTGACAAAGCGGATTTCAAAGCGGATGGGTCTGGTAGGTGTTAGTGCACAGTTCATGCATTGACCCAATAGGACTGGATATGTGCACGGACCAGACGCAATTAATCACAGGTACCCTACTTGCGTAAGCTAATTTGGGCTCATCGGTACTGTTGGAGCGCGCCCACATGTACTTTGTAGCGATAACTGCACGCGAAGGATTCGTCGCTTTGTCGATCCTCACAGTCGTTTGACAATCATATATACTGCTGGTGTGCTTGGATAAACAAAACGCACTGACTAGATGGTAATGTGCGAAATGGTATGTGGAGAGGACGGATGGCTTTCTTACAACATGTTTACTACTAGCAATCCCACCTAATCGCGTTTTATCCGTGTCCTTACACTCTTTGTGCATTTCAAATAATCTTTCTATCCCCGACGTCCAAATGCTGTTGAGTTCTAGTCCAGTTCAGAAAATTTGTTTTTTTTCTCGACTATATGGACTGCTTTTTATTTAGAAATAAGGAAGCCAAATCGCTCCGAAGAAAGTTTTAAGGACGCTGTATACTTAATATTTTGGTTTCGAGATCCTAACTGAGAGAAAGCCAAGAACGACAATCCAGTCCGTTGCTTTTTAAAGTGGCGTTATTTTTAGTTTTGGATAACAGTGTGCCGAGGCCTAGCAAGGCTTGCTTGAGTAAAATTATGCAATGGCTTTTCCATTTTCGAAATGCAAACGGCTCCGGGAGAATAAAAGTCTTTGGCTCAACATAATCTTGATGGACAGGTACTAGAAGGCCTTCTGCGTCCCCTACTATCTCCATTTCCGATGTTCAGGCCTACTTTGAAGACCGTTTAAAAGAATTCCGGGATTGTTATAATCCGTGCACAATAGTGAAGCAGAGGAAGTCTACTTTTCTAACCGATATGTTCCGTGCATCATAATATGAACCGAAAATACCTAGCTCGGTGCGATTTGGACGCGTCGTAGAGAGCAGGCCGACTGGGGTTTAACAGCTGTGGTGCAGGTGACACCTTAACTACGGCAACGATCGTCCTTTACGCGAAAGCATCCTTCAGACTAACGTCAACTTTTTATTAGTTATAGTTGACCTATTAATTTCCCAGAGAAGCGCAGTGGAGGCTTCAGTGTAAACAGTACTCTCACTAGGCCTGATATCCAGCTCAATTCAATCCCATCGTTGTCCGATGCCAACACTAAAATACTTCCGACAATGATAAGGACAAAGACCCTTGCATCAAGAACAATGAGGTTTATGCCGCAATGGTTTTATCACCTGGTCTTAGCTACTTTAAATGCAGACATAAGAATGGCGTTGCCTCAGTCGTCGGTAATTAAGTCGTCTTCCGATGTTTGCCTAATCACTGACTTTCCCTGAAATATACTGAAACTGAAACCTTGGGCAGCGGAAATATCATTCCCTCGCGACGCTTTGTTTCACAGCTACGGTATTACAACGAGTGTACGGCGTGAGCAGGCCGGCGACCCACCTTGCAGTTGTGTGAACACTCCCGGTCCGTCAATGCGGTTGGATGTATGTTGCACGACTTTATGCTGGCGAGGACACTCTGGCAGAGGTACACTGTCGGTTATTATTACGCATGAAGATGTCGTAAAGTTGTGTGCTCGCACCCAGCAATTATCGAACTAAATTACATCCTTCATCTTCAACCTCACAGAAAAATTCTACGCAGAAGGCAACAGATAACTCCGTAGATGGCATAGGTTAACTTGGATTGTCTTCCAACTAAACGAAAGCCGTGACGCATAGTGGACTTTGGCAGTCGTCCGGGATGTCTAAGCCTTCCTATTTAAAAATAGCACTGTTTATCCCCTCGTGGGGACGGAGATTAGAAAAGATACCCTAGAAAATGGCAGAAAAAACACGCCATCTGCAAGCCGACTGTAGCTCGCAAAGGGAAAATGTATGTACTATTAAGAATGTGTAACAAACAACAGCAGCCTCCGTTTCTATTCTGTCGCCCCCCTTTAGGGTGACATAGTGGTAGCGCTCATTCTGACATCCTGAAATGTTTGTTCTCTTCTAGACAATTCAATAACAAATCATCTGGGAAGGAGTACCACCACAATTTTTTGCCAGTGACCCGCTACAGCTTTGATATTGTGGTTTTCAGCAAGGCGGTGGATGTCAGGGATGCACCCGCTTCTGGAGCGGACATCCAAAGACAAACCGACGAAATTTCAGAGTCGCGTTTGCCACCGGGGACGACGTCGTCAGACGGTTTTGCTGCCTGCCATAGGACGTCAATGATCGTCTTATAACCATGAGGATGTCACCCCGCAGAAGCATATTTGTCATCGTCGTCGGCGCCTATGCCGTAAATACATAACTCCGGTGACGTGAGCAAAACGTTCTACTGAGACTTTCACGGCTTCCAGCCGACTGCGTCGTCTTTGGAAAATCTAGGTGGCTTTTGTGACTTCATTACAGTCGTCGGCACTGACCGCGCTACCTGGGCAGGAATGCTGCGACAACAACGGTCGTTTCCTTCCGCAGACCCACATGGAACATAGTCTTCTCCTGCCAAACACCTTATCCGTCCTCCGATGCGTGCGAAGTCGGTATGAATGCATCTCTGCTCACTTTAATTGCATCTTCAGTACTACTTCCCTGATTAGAAGGCGTGATCAGCGTGACGTGTTATTGGCGAGGTCAACGTGTGGTGCCGACTGTAAGACGGACAACCGCCTTGTCATCTTCAAGATGAGGCTTTGTCTGTAATCCCGCGGGTGACCGCAATGTAATTCAACATCGGGTGAATTAAATACTGCACCACTTGATAGAGATGTACATCAGCTGGACCTATGTGGCTGCAAGGGCCCCAAACTGGAAGAACTGCAATCCCTGGACGCGCATACCAATGTCAAAACTGCACGACCATGATCACGCACGTCAATAGCATCAGGAATGCACTGACGACAATAATGAAGTAATCTGCAGTCGACTGCATTAACAGCAGCAAGATCAATAAATCTGCAGGCTTGCCAAGCCGAAGAGGCTAAGGGAGATGCATAACGAGCGGCTGGCAGAGCGGAGGGGGTCCAGGGATATGTTGACAGCCGTGATATGAAAAATACAATTGCGTCCATCAGGCGGTCTACAGTCTTTAAGCCAAGGAGACCGCGCTACTTCTGAGTTAGGATAAATCAATCCTCCTGACAGTGAGGTCGCAAATTCTGGAGAAATGGCCTACACACTCCCAGAGAGTCTTCAACTAGCCGTCTACCGCCTACGAAAAGGTCACCAAACGACCCCCCGAACGAACACCAACGACTACCACGACAGTTTGCCTACCCTCCCAGAAACAAACAGTGCGACAGCTCTCCAGTATTAAGCACTGGGAGCAGATGCAATTCCAACCGGCGTTTACAAGTAGGACAGGCCTATAACTTATAGTAAGGTTTATTCCACTGTTCCGGGAGGTGCGAAGACAAGTACACGTCCTCCAAGATTTCACGAATACTATTATCGTTCAAATCTTAAGGCTATTGTCAACCCCGTAGTAACCTCCGCGGGCATGGTCTTCGTTCGCGTTCAACTCAATTGCCTGAGTACGTGTCTGGAGCAGCAGGCACAGATTCCGAAAATACCGCAAAGCCATAGAGACAATCCTGGAGGTCCGCCAGGGAATAGGGACTGTTTCTGCTCGACATTACTGGATCTGAGGAGGGCCTTTGTCACAGTGTCTGGAGAGATTCCAACAGCTGGTAAAAAACCGCATGATGGGATTTTCACGCGCATCACGAACAACATAGCCCCCTCTGAAACATTCGTGATGACAAGTTGAAGCCCAGATGCGTACTCGCTCTTACCTCATTTAGTCCCATTTTCTCCGATTTTATAGTGGACGACTGCCAAGAGGGACGACCAAAGATCGAAATTGATTATCAAACCGAGGGGAAACTGCCAAACATCATCGGATTTTAGCATCTTCGACAGTACCCAAGGCCATTGTCCACTCTACTTTCTACGCGGATGACCGTGCGCTAAACACCATAACGGGAAAGGACACGCAGCGGACTGTGGACCCCATTCACTTCAGCCATTTCGACATCTATTTGCCCGTCAGCACGGAGACGATCTTAAACCACCCGCCGCAAAATGTCGATTGCAAATTTGTATCAACGTAAACAAAACTCGTCTAGCATCAGTGGATAGATTCGTGCGTTTTGGGAGAACAATTCCGAAAGCATCGAGGTTGAGACAAAATCGCAACTCAGAACTACGCAACCCGACAGACATTAAACGGTCCACAACACTCAGACTATAGCTGTAGCGACATTTTGCTTAACAAAAAACTTAGAATACATGGAGTTGTCACCCTAATAACGTTCTTGTCCTAGGCAGGTGTAACTAGAACAGAGCCGGTACATCTTGAAAATAAATTATAAGGGTCTTCCCAAGCAACTGTTCTACAAAGATGTTGTTGGAGGTTTTCAAAAGTATGGCAGACAAAAGCGTCGCCATTAGGATACCTTTAGGACACCCTTTCATGACATGTAAACTAGCTTTGAGATTTCTAAAGACCTCGCTCAAGGTCGACAGACGTAGGGTACTGACATAAAGACCGGACAAGCTCTTTTTAGAACCAATCGGACGGCCGCCCTAAAACAATTAACGCAAACACCCTAACTCTGTCATCATACCCACACTGTCGACGGACATTCAGAATGCGGACTGGCTTAGTCGGACATCTGTAGCTCGAGTGCAATGTCAACATGATCAGGCCGCTTCTCAATTTACAACACAACTCCTAGCGTTGACATTAGTACTGTCAATGAGGAAACTCCAGTTTGGTTACTTGCAAATTCATTGCGTTAAAACCAGTAAACCAGTTTCATATACATCGCACCTGCACATACTGACCCAGGGCATTTAAGCACTACACAAGTTTACTGAGAAATATTCCCATTCATAAAACTCCTTAGCAAAACACAACAGTCCGGACCCCATCAATGCACCTCGTCCTAGCTGCCTACAGACACCCCGTAAACTACATACAAACCTACTCTATAACGCGCATGTAAACGTTATCACAGTAGCACCATGCTATTTTTCTGTAGCAGTCATGTAAACCGCTTTACTATTGCCGATTTTTCGCGTTACAGAACACGCGCTTTGGGCTTAAGCGGAAATAATGCCCTGTAATATATTCTGGGAAAGATGAGAACCAGATTTTTAGCAACGGACCGTCTGGTTTTGTCCTCCACCGAGCCGATTCTCATCACCAGATGGTTGAAAGACTCCGACAGTCGACTAGTGCATTGGAAGGGGAAGAGAGAATGAAGCCGACATTTGAAAACCCATCCCTACAAAAATCTACGCACTGTTCATTACAGTAGGTGAAATGCGCCTGGATCAAGTATGATGCGCCGGAAATTAGGGTCTTATAGACTGCAGAGTGGCGAAGTAACATGTTTCTCTTGGGATTATTTAATGGGGTTTGAATGACTAAGAGTCAGGTTGCAATGATTACTTCTCACCGTCGTCCTCAAGACATTTTCTTTAATGCGGGATACGTGTTGTCTTTGCAGGAAACCGACGTATATAAAAGGGGCCAGGCCGTGTGCGGACCACCTAGACGGACTCTATGTCTTTATGAGCTGCTCTATCCGACCTCACTCTTGGTCGTCTTGACACTGCTTTGCCATAAAAACAAGATGGCTGGAAAAAGGATGCCAGATGCCGCATAAGTCTACGTTTTAATAAGCCAACCCGCGCATGAGACCGTGGCGTTATTTTTGGTCGGTTGGACAAGCAGTGAGCGTCGCCGTTTTGACAATCCAATTATCACATATCTATTTAGTAAACCCTTGCATGTTACCTCAAAAATCACATCGGGCAAACAAACTGTCGATTATCTGAGACCAAGTAAGCTACTTTCTGCATACCTATGAAAGTTGTGTTTTCTCGGATGCGTGCCATTTGATATTTTACACGCAGACGGTAATGTGAAATGGAAATTAAATGTTTTTTCTACCATAACGCCTTAAAATTTACTGACAAAAGTACAACTGGTCGGTAGTTCATGAAATAAAGTAAAAAATAGTCCTATTTCATAAAACAACTTTCTTCTTTTTCTTGATAGTGGACAAAGGTAAAAACTTCCAGTGCTTATAATCTTTCGTTGACTTTAAACTTAACGTGGGTCTTGTTCATGGACTACTCTTTTTTGCTAACGCTAAAATATAATATGACTCATAAACGAAAGAATTGAAACAGAAACTGTCTTACGTCGTCTGCGTAAAACACAAGGTTTGTAAACAACCAAGCGTCAAATTTGCCGTAACTTTATGCATTCAAAAAATCTGGTAACAACGCACGTTTTGGCAGCAAGACAGCCAACAACGGGCAAAAATGACAATAAAAAATCTTTAGTTAGCTCACAGTAATAGACACATCTTGTCAAATCAGAAGTCAAGTGTCTTCAATTAATTTTAAATAAAAGTTTACAACCTAAAACATGAGTGGACTTCCAGGCGTGCAAACACTTACGCCTTGGGTTGGGCATTTCTGTCATTGTTTACATCGTGTTGTGCTCGAATTTATCAATTTAATTTGGCAATTTCAGCACAGGCTAAGCAAAAAGCATCATTGTCATTTTTACGTAAGCTTAATACTAATATTTATTTTCTTCTATTCTACTTGGTGCGATTTGTGACATCACAAAATCTTACGTGTTTGAATAACCTTTTATCAACATATTAAGCTCTTAAGCTCAGGATTGTTTGATGTTTAAATTTGGAATGGGCTAGTAGGTTATACTTGAACTTTTTAATAGAAAGTGCGTCACCTGTGCGTCTGCGGGACAGCTATTCTGGTACACTGGGCGACTTCACGAATGGACTGCATTTTGCATTTGATCAGCTCGTTCGGGCACATAACTAGGCTCGTAAAAAATCCACAACAGCTTCCCGCAGTTGCCAACTCCAGCAAACTCAAGTCTTTAATCGAGTCCTTTCCAGAAAAATGCATTACGATCCTTTGACAGAATGGCATTGCTGTAAACAAGACGACATTCTCTGACACGCCTCCGCTAAGTGCCGGCAAAGTGCCTGCATAAAATCCGCGAAAAACTCCTTCCTTCACCCATATATTTTTAATGCAAGCAAATGCATTTTTGTGGAG